CCGGAGCCCCGCAGCGCTTCTGATGATCAGCTCGGTGTGTGTCTCCTCCTACCGCGGGCGCAAGTCGGGGAACAAGCCTCCGTCCAAAACATGTCTGAAGGAGGAGATGGCCAAGGGCGAGGCGTCGGAGAAGATCATCATCAACGTGGGCGGCACGCGACATGAGACCTACCGCAGCACCTTGCGCACCCTGCCGGGCACCCGCCTCGCCTGGCTGGCCGATCCCGGCGGCCGGGGAAAAAAAAACCCGTGGCGGGGGGCCCCGCCAGCAGCGGCAGCAGCGGCGGCGGGGGCTGCGAGTTCTTCTTCGACAGGCACCCGGGCGTCTTCGCCTACGTGCTCAACTACTACCGCACCGGCAAGCTGCACTGCCCAGCCGACGTGTGCGGACAGCTCTTCGAGGAAGAGCTCACTTTCTGGGGCATCGATGAGACCGACGTGGAACCCTGCTGCTGGATGACCTATCGACAGCATCGCGACGCCGAGGAAGCGCTCGACATCTTCGAGAGCCCAGATGGAGGCGGCGGCGGCCCTGGGCCCAGCGACGAGGCTGGCGATGAGGAGCGAGAGCTGGCCCTGCAACGCTTGGGCCCCCACGAGGGAGGCGCGGGCACTGGCGCCGGGTCCGGGGGCTGCCGCGGATGGCAACCCCGCATGTGGGCCCTCTTCGAGGATCCCTACTCCTCCCGGGCAGCCAGGGTAAGTGGCCTTTCAGGTCTGCAAGGGGCGCATGGGGATGGTGGGCAAAGGACAAGGAGCGAGCCTGACTTACCACCCAGTGCAAGGCCGTTCCTGCCTCCCTCCCAAGTTCCCCTCGGCCCTCTGGGGAATTACACACTCCTACCCTCTCTTCTGCACGCCCCATCAGGAGATTGCACACACTTGATTTACTACTTGGACCTGATCCCAGCTGCCAGCTTTGCGGCACCCCCCCTCCCCCCCCCAGTGAGTGGGGTGCCCATAGCTGAGTGAGCTATTCCACCCACTTCTTCGGTCTGCACAGCCTGCCCTGTCTTCAGCTATCAAGTCCACAGTCCTGGAGAGCCCAAACTGGGCCTTCTGCTGGGGTCAGGCAGTGCTGAGGGGGAGGCAACAGAGTGTGTAGTGTTAGATGCATCCTTGCTCTGGCAGCTGTTCAAATCCCCCCAGCAGCTCAGTTTGCCAGGACTGCTTTTAGAGAGGGGGACTAGGCTTCAGCATCTTCAGCTCATCAGAGGCAGAGCTGAAACCAGAACCTAGGCCTCCTGTCCAGGTTTAGGAGAAGCTGCCTTCTTTTTCCAGGAATCATGCTATGGCTCAGGCTTCCTGCACACCTGGGTTGTCCTGGCCTCAGCGAGGATGAAGGGAGTTAGGCAGGAAGGGCCTGATATCCAGGGCCCTGTTTCTGGCTCCCGCAGCCAGTGGTGGCCACAGGCGTCCTGCTGATGTGATACCAGGTTTGTTGCTGCCTCTTTTCTTCCTGCTGCAGCACAAATTAGCTTCCTGGAGAAATGGGTGTATGGGTCAGGGGGCATAGGTTTATTTAAGTGAGACCTATTTCCTTACCACCAGGTGAGACCCAAGTGAATCCAATGAGTGGGGGCATGCACTCAATCTGTTATGCTTGGACAGCTAAAAAAAAAAAAAAAACCAACAACAACAACAACAAAAAGAAAACCCCAAAAACAACAACAAAAATAACCCTGAAGGATGGCTTTAGATTCTTTTAAAAAGAAAACTCTGGGGACTGGTATCTGATCTCATGGCTGGCAGCCTAAATCTGGAGGCCTGCTTGGAAAACGGGAAAGAGCAATGTGATTTGTGTTTCGTTGGGTCTAGGAACTGCTTCTTGCTGGGGAAGCTGGTGGACACCTCTGACAGCCCAAGTAGTCCTGTTAATGAGTCTCAGAGCCTTACTGCCCTCCCCAGCACCCCCTGCTCTGGGCATCATCCTAGTCATGGAAAATAAAGTTCCACTTCCCCACTCACAAGAGGGCAGGGGTTTGGGGAATGGCACTGCATGGAGGGGCCAGGCTGGCTTAAATGCCCAGCCAGGGCAGATGCATGTGCCCAGAAGAGAAGGAAGGAGCAGAGGTCTCAGGCCGAGGCACCCAAGGCATCCCAGAGCTGCAGGTGTCCTAAGGTTGCTACTGGAAGGCAGAGCTCTCTCTCAGGACCGAGAGCCAAGCTGGGGTTAGCTGCCTTGGTTTCTTTCCTTGCAGCCCTGGGACCAGCTCAGGAAGTGAGGGCTCAGTCATGCCTCTGGCGTGGGCCTGCTGTGACTCGCGAAGGTCTCTACTCCTATGGCATTAGCTCTTGGCTGTCTGCACTAGGGAAGAAGCAAGCACGGATAATTCCGACTGTTTCTAAGTTGGTGGGGGTAGGGAGGCAGATTTAGCTTGCCAGAGACGGGGAAAGAGGACAGACCAAGGAGGCAGGAATGAGATGGGTAGTTAGGGCATTAGGCCCTATTTCTGAGCATTCTGGATCTCTGGGGACTTCTTTCAGCTCAAGTTCTTCCCTCTGGGACTCCAAGGGCTGTACCATCAGTGAGTTTATTTTATCCTCAACTCATCAAAGAATAACCCAGCCAAAGGGCCTCTTTGAGTAAGCTCAGAGCCTGGCCGGCCCATGGAGTCCTCCAGGAACCCAAGAGGCTTCACTTTAATCCCATGGAGTCGTGGCAGTCCGGGCATTCCATCTGAGGCTCGAAATATGGGGCAGGGCAGAATTCATACTTTGATTGGAGCAATGAAGAAACTGCAATTCAGAAACATTGTCTTGCCTAAGACACTTTAACTAGTAGCAGGAACAGCAAACCACCCATAGTTTGCAGCCTTCTGGTTGCTAGGACTGATGTGACTACCTGTCTGGAGCTCTGGCTGGCTCGTGTGCTGAAAAGGGACTTGCCTTCTGCTGAGAACACAGGCAAAGACAGGCCTTCAGCTGCTCCTGGGGCACACGAATGGGGACACAGTTTGAGAATATTCACTGGTGACTGCTGCTTATTGAGCACCCCATGCAGGTACTTCGCTTTGCATACTTTACATTGTCTCTAATCCTCCCGGTACAATGAAAATGGGGCTGCTACCCCTACTTAACAGATTGAGGCTTGCCTGGATCAATAGCCAGGTGGTAGCCAGACTTGGAATCAAAGCCCGACTCCCAAACCCACCTCTGTGATTACAGGATGTTCTTTTTTGTTTGTTGGTTTTTGGTTTGCTATAAGGTACATGCACTCTCTGGAGAGAGACTAAGAGAGATATAGAAAAGGAAAGTAAGAAATCACATCCCGCCCAGGGGGATGGCCATGCCACTATTCCCATTCCTCCATTCTCCTCTTGGGATTTCAGGTTTGTGCAGACATATGCCTGGAGCGTTTTTCAAGCCACCAGGTTTGGGACACTAACTGTGCAGTCAGCCATGTGGGGTCCAGCCGCCCTAACCTCTGCACCACCTGCTGGCCCTGGGCAGTTCTTTCGGCTGAACTAGGCTATGTGGAGGTAAAGAGGTGACCCTTAACTTACTCTGGCCTGGGAAGTGCTCTGAGGTTCTCTGCCTCCTGTGGATGACATCAAAATACCCAAGGGCAGATGAGGACATCAGAAGGGACACTTGCTGTTACCCCTCCAGGCCCGAGGGCACAGGGCCTGCGGGACATTCTGGGCTGTGCTCTCCCTGCTCCATTTACCCCAGGCCCATAACCCATTTCCCTCCCCATCCCTGCCCTGTTCCCTGGGAGTGCGAATATACCTTTCCTTACAGTCTAAGCAGCATGTCTCCCTGGAAGGGGCCGGCAGCACTGCAGGGTGGGGGCTTGGGATGTCACCGAGAGGGCAAACAAGGGCAGAGGAGCAGCACTCTGCCCTCGAGATGTGCCTTCACCCACAGCAGCCCGTCCAGGTCATCTGAGTAGTGCGTTATGTCAGGAGCAAAACAGACCCAAACAGAAAGTAAACTGAGCTGCTCCTGAGAGCCTGTTGCCTAGCTACGGGGCTGGCCAGAGGAGCTGTTCCCATGCAGGCAGCTCCCAGCCTGGGTGCTCATCCCTGCACCCTTCCCCGGGGCCAGCCCCGGGGTGGCTGCTCTGGTCCTATTTCTGTGGCCCCTGCGGAGCCAGACACGAGTTGGAGGCTGGTCTTGTCCCCATTTGCCCACTGTCTGGGGGCAAAGTAAGGGCTCAGCAGGCTGCCTTCTCCGCCTGAGGACCAGTGGGGGGTTGGCAGCACCCAGAACTGTGCAATAGCACCTTCCTCCTTCTCTCCCTCCCTCCTTCCTTCCTCTCTCTTTTTTTCTCTCTCTCAGAGGTTTTTGCTATGGGGCTTGTGTGTTTGCCACAAAGACAGAGAGAGACAGAGAGACAGAGAGCGAGAAATCACTCCCCAGGGGGATGGCCACACCACAATCCCTTCTTCTCCACTCTCTTCCCTGGATCTTGGGCACTCATGCTCACACACACCCAGCGTGAGTTTAAGCCACCGGGTCCAGGACTTGAACCACGGTTGACTACATGGGAGTCCAGCGACATAGCCATTACGTCAACTGCTGGTCCCAGCACCTTTCTCCTTTTCTAAGAGCTGACAGGAGGCCTAACATAAAGGACCCCAATGGGACCAGCAGTTAGCGTAATAGCTATGTCCCTGAACTCCCATGTAGTAGACTGCAGTTCAAGTCCTGGACCCAGTGGCTTAAACTCATGCTGGGTGCGTGTGCGTGCGTGCCCAAGATCCCGAGAGGAGAATGGAGGAGAAAGGATTGCGGTGTGGCCACCCCCCTGGGGGGTGATTTCTTGTTTTCTGTCTCTCTGTCTCTCTCTGTCTTTCTGGAGAGCACACATGCCCTATAGCAAAAACCTCTCAAAAAAAAAAAAAGGACCCCAACACTCCCCTCCCTCACCCTGGCCTCCAGAGGTCTCATGGGCCGCATGGGTGGCAGGGCAGTTATCAGCTCTGTGAAGGAACTGATTTGGCCTAATCAGTTCCTGGGTCGGTGTTTCCCGCAGTGTCTCCCGTCTGAGAAGAGGGGACCCGCAGGATCCCCACTGCTTCCAGAGCTGCAGAGCTGAGTTCTCTGCTGATTATTGAGCTTCCTGTGCGGTGTATACTTCCCATCATCTCTAATCCTCCCGATCCGCTTACAGTGGGGCTGCTATCCCCATTTACCAGGTGTCTACTGCGTGTCTAATGCTTGCTCTGTGCTCTCCCCTCCATCTCACTGGGCCCAGGCAACACAGGTAGTATTGACCTCAGCCTACAGATGAGGAAACTGAGGCAGGGCTTGCTCGAGACTGCACGGCTGATGATGCCTCAGCTGCTTCCCGTGGCTCCTGCTACAGGGCCTCTGGCTTCTGGAGCACACGGAGGGTAGTCCCCGTGAGAGAGCTCCTTCTCCCCTGCTCCCCATCCCTTTCTTCACTTCCCACTCTCTGGAGTTGCTCGAGTCTGACCTCTCTCTCTCCTGCCTTGCCCTCCCCGTCGGACTGTCATAGGAAGAAGGGAAACCTGGTTAAGAGAGCAGACCCGACTTCCCCTGGCCCGGCAGAGGAGTGACACCAGGGCCTTTTAGGAAAGAGAGGCTGAGCTCCACTCGTCCCCCCGTCACCCCCCAAAGGTTCTGACTTCTCTAGTCTGGGCACTGCAGGCTTCGGAGCGAGGGCCTGGACTCACTGGTCCTGTGCCCTCTGAGCTAGGGTGAACCGGAGCCTAAGCTAGCTGGAGGCT